GGTTTCCCGTATTGTGCTAGACAATTTTTCTCACCAGAATCTATCTTACACCTTTTATGTCTATCATTCATCTATGCATTGAATATTGCTACCACATCTGCTCTGGTACTTCTGCTATGTATCTAGAGATTTTTGACAAAATCCAAAGAATAATCTACAATGTTATTGGTCCTGGCTTGGTATCAATCACCTTCCCACTGCCATAATGTAGCTTCACCTGTTCCTTTTCTATGTTTTCATGGCAATTGTTCTGATTAGTTTTCCTCTTTGGTACTTTGACTTCAAAAATTTAAGCACATTACTTGATTGCCAATTAGCTTTCATCATTTCCCTGTTGAAATTGTTAGATGTAACCATAAGCTCTATGCTAATACTGTATGTACATACTCAAGTATAGCATGAGTTTTTATGATCAGTTTTTTTACGCTAAAAATAGGGAAGGGAGTCACACTACACACAGGTAATTTTTTTTAAAGAGGTTAAAATCATGTTCCGGTGACTAGTTAAACTATACACAGGTAATTTATTTCTGGAAGGGTTGAAATTCATGCAAAATATTCTGGGGTTGCACTGTATGTAAAGTCGGCCTATACACCAGTATATATGGTAGTTTCTTCACTTGCACATCTTGCCTGTGAAACTTTTCCTGATTCTTACTTGGCAACTACAATCTTCAAAAATTTAAATGCAACATCAACTGTCATCTTGTCTTTTATTGTGCATTCTCCATGATAACCGCTTGTATCTTAACTTTGCTTGGAATATGATATGATTAAAAAAATGATATCTCTACCTGACCCCACTCACCAAAATCAGATCAAGTGAGGACAGGGGAAGAACTTTTCAGCACCTAATTATAAAAAATAAATTTTCTAATTTCTTTGGAGTGGTTCAAATACATTAGATATATTCTGAAGCATGTTACATGTTTTAATTATAGTCTCTGTCTGCCGATATTGTTACCTACAATTTTCAGTAAAAACATAGTAGCACTACATGTTGTCAGTAGCTACTTGTCAAACTTGAATGGTAGTTTAGAAAAAAAAAAAAAAGAAAAACATAGTTTATGATAACAGTAGTGTTTAAATTTACCTTGGAAGATCTTTAAGCAACGTTTAACCTTCATGCCTGTGACAGAAAAAAAAAAAAAGTTTTGTCAAAAAGACGTTTACGCCCAAGACACTGCTAGTACTGTATACGCTCTTGACTCCTTCAGCAATGTTTATCATTAAAAAAAAAAAAAAAACGATTAGAATTTTAATAAAACCCAAACATATGAAAGTGGATTCATACCTTTTCTTTATTCTTGAGAATTGACAACAAAGATATTAAAAAGTATTTATTTATTAGATCGTTTATTTACACAAATAATTTTATATTTACAAAATTATAAAAATATATGAATCAACTATAATGAAATATTTAATATTTAGAATTTTCTAAAGAAATAAATATGAAAATAATTTTTTTTTTAATTCATAAATTTATAAAAATATCTGAAGCAAAACATTTAAACTAAAGTAACTAATTATAAATTTGGGAAAATGCATATTCTGGGCATTTCTTTCATTTGCTCTTACCACATAAATTCGCTAAAATAGGTTGAGAGCATTTCTTCCTCTTTACATATTTTGATAATTTTGTAATTTTTATAAATTTTTGCATCAAAAGATTTCTTTTCAAATTTATTTCTTTATAAATGGTAAATAAAATTGCATTGTATTTGGTTCACATATTTTTTATAATCTTGGAAAGAAATATTGCCAAGGGAGTCAAAAGTAATAGCTTTGTCAAAGGAATGACTCCTTTTGACAAACCTTTTTTTAATGCACAAATGTTAAACATTGCCAAAATTTACTTGGTGGGGGAATTATTAGTAGTATGCAAATATCAATGATGTAAGCACTTTTTCAAACTTGACACTTGTAAACAAAAACATAACTCTAAGATTTGATTTGATACTATATTTATATAATGAACAGGATCATCCTTTTAAAGATGATAAAAAAAAAATTCTGACAATGTGGCTTGAAAAGGGTTTGGTTTGTTGTTTTCGCTTTTTTTTGTTGTTGTTTAATGGCACATCAACCTCTGTGGGACATCTTTGTGTTGAGTCCTTTATTTAGTATACTTATGATTTGTAAGAAAATTTGTAGTTTTAGTTAAAGACTCTTCTAAGAATATTTTTTTGTGGGGGAAGGGGGTTCTGAGAGATTATATCTTTCTGTAAAGCCTCATCTGTTTTCTAATGTTATTCAGGTTGGTTTGTCTGAAAAGCTTATGCATGTCTTACTTTCTATAAAATTTTTCTGCATATCATTAAAGTTAGTCTAGTACAGTATGTGCTTGATGGCATATTGTTCTTAACATGCTGTACATATTGGAGGTTCTTTGTTCTTAGGGAGAAAGAAATGGTTTATGTGAGTATAGCCAATGAAAATTCTAGCTAGGACTACCACTTCTCTTATCTTTCTATATGCTGGAGGCCATCCTCCAATGGTAGGTTAGAGTTTGTTTTGTGTGCATTTACGCCATGATTCTTGCCATTTTTTGATAATGAATTTACGTATGGTTTCTCTCAAGTCTGTATGAGGGATTTTAATGCTTGATGTGTTGTAGGGCTTTTTTAGTTCCTTTATCTGATCTTTCATTCCAATGTGGCTGAGTATCCAACAGAAGATGACTTTGTTTTTGAAGGTTTTGTTAATTTTGTAGTTGAGTTCCGATATTTTAAGAAAAGCTTAATGAAAGCTAATCTGCAAAAATTGTTATAATGAAAAAATCTTCCCTATTTTTTTTTTTTTTTAGTGGACCCATGAATTGAAGTAATGCCAAAATATTTGGCTAATAAAAATTTATGCAAAAAACTTAAAATGAAAACTAAGAGTTTTTATAATAAAAATATTTGCATGCTTAAAGATTTAACAAACTAATCCAAATCTAAATAATTAATCATTATTATCAATATTCAGATAGTAACACAATGTGAACAATCTTTTTTTCTTCTTTGCTTTTGTAAAAAAGATACAATTTTTCAAAAATAGAAAAATTGTGTCATAGTACAGAGGAGAAAAAAAAAAACTAAAAAAGTGACATTTCAAAAGTCAAGGCAAATATTTTAAATTTAGAAAGTTTAAAAAAATACTTTGGACATTTTTTTTCAGTTTCTTTGTGTCGAAGATATTTTAAAATATCCTTTTCTAAACAGAACTAAAATTTAATCATCATTAAATATATTTAACCAAGATTAATCCTAAAAACTGAGTTACAAAAATTATACCATTTGGTCATCTGTTCACATCATGCTTGCTTTCATCTGTATTACCATTGGCATTTATGGTCTGCAAGACTGTTTCAGTTCAGGGAAATTGATGTCTGTTTATATTTAATTTCCAAATTGATGTCTTAAATGCTACCACAATCATCTAAGGGTTTTAACATCTTTGGAAACTATAATATAGATTACAAGTCAATGAATAATTATGAGTAGTTTCCATTTAGTTTGTTCAAAAGTAACATCAAAGAGTTTTCATAGATAAGAAAATCAAATACATTTCTTTTAATCTGGAGATATTTGGGTCATTCATTGAAGTGGTGGGTGCAAAGAAACCGGGCCCATTCGTCGGGAGGGTGGGTGCAAAGAAACCGGGCCCATTCGTCAAGAGGGTGGGTGCAAAGAAACCGGGCCCATTCGTCGAGAGGGTGGGTACAAAGAAACCGGGCTCATTCCTTGGGAGGGTGGGTGCAAAGAAACAACTCTGCTTGTTGGGCAATAGTTAAATTTTACAAGTATTGAATGATGTGAAATGACATATAAAGAAAAATAATATTTATTACATCATTTGCTGTAGTGTTCAGGAGCTATAAGAATTTCTACCAACAGAACAACAGGATGCATAAAATATGAAATTGCTGATGCTAGGTGAACAATGGTCTGATCAATATATTTGTCCTTTTAATGTGACTGCAAGGAATTTTTAGTTTTTAGTGTCACACAAAATTTTGTATGAAAGAGTTCTCATGTCAAATTTTAAAATTCCTATAACAGTGATTCTTAGACAAGATGTAATTGACTCACAGATGATGAATATCATTCATATATAATGGTGAAAAAAAATTTTTAAATTGTAAAAAATTTTAAATCTTAAAATGTTTTTTAAATTGTAAAAAATTTAAAATAAAATTTTAAAAATATTTAAAATTCATTTTTTTAATTTTTAAAAATTAAAAGATTTTTTAAAATTTAGAAAATTTGTTAAAAATTGAACTAAAATTTTTCTTTAAAGTTTAAAAACAATTAAATTTTTTTTAATTAAAAAATAAAAAATAATAAATGGGAGGAGATTGAGGAAACTTGGGATCATAAAAGAGTAAGTTAACCAAGAACCACTGCATTAGTACAAACTAATAGACCAGAATACAGGAAAAACAGGTTATCAAATATTCTGATCGGATCAACTCCCAGCATAGGTTATTCAACAGTTTTGTATATGGTGTTGCTCTACTGGACTTTTAGTAGTAATTGTCTTACATCCAACAAGTGTAGTGGGGTTAGCCTGCAAGAATCTGAAACCATGGAGTTTGTTCTTTATTGCGAGTCTGAAAAGATGGCTTTATCCAATGAATATCAAAAATTGACAAGTTCTCCATTTTATTTCCAACCTGTTCACCCAAAACTTTATGATTTGATTCTATAAAGTTTATTCAAGCTAAGCTTAGAAAAACCAAGCCATGGCAAAAGGAAACGTTAGCAGGCAAATACTCTTAAAAATAGTTACTCACATGTTGAAAAGATGATAAATTATTCCAATTCTCAATCACCACAAGATGAAGATGTTAGTCAATAGAGATTAAGCAGAATCCATCACAGTTGAGATTTTCTCCCCCCGCTTCATTTCAAATATAAGTTGTATTAATCCTTGAATTAAAAGCATTCTTTTTTTTTTTTTTTTTTTCCACACACACAATCATCCATTTTGTATTTCAAATATTATTTAACATCAAGAGAGGCGGGATGGGGAAGCTGTTTGGGGAGAGGGAGTCAACACAAGATCTGATTCTTGTTGTGTAAGTTCTCTGTGGCAGGAATAACTGTGTGGACTTATCTGGATTGGTATATGGTGATTATGATTGGGATCTGTCACTTGGAATACAATCTGTTAAAGAAAGAAAAAATAAGCAGAAATTAAAACAAGAATTTTCATAGGGTACAAAATCTTATCATAGACACTAAAATAGATGAATTTTATCAAAGTGAGAGGAAAATAAAAGAAAGAAAAAATATAATCACTGTGAATGGCAAATTGAAAACAAAAATGTATAGAAAAGAACCAGACCAACATAAAAAAAATAAGACTGACTAGGATGTCTGTGATGTGGGTAAGAGTTATGCCCACCTGATTGGCTTTGTTTAGCGGCATATCAATTCCTTATGGGGTCATTTAATGCAGAAATTTATTTTGGGGGGGAGCATTAGTAATTTCTTTTGCAAAAAATGTATTGCTGGTAATTTTTTTTTATTATAAAAATGTATTTTTATACTTTCAGTGTTTTGACCCCAGTTTGGGGGTTAACTATTTGCCCATAGCTGGAACCCTAACAGGTGCTACCACTCTAGGTCAGAATGGGCCTGGGAACAACAGCAATTAAGAGGTAGTTCCACACTCCTCAAAACCTGCTGAACAGAAGCCTTGCTGCCAGATGTAGTTTATCCTCATACCCAGAACACCTGATTGGTCATTTATAAAAGACTGTCTTTCAATATAGATGGCATCACTGTTAAATTTGCTTAGCAGTTGTTATGCTAATTTGGGTGAGAATGGTGATGCTTGGTTGTTAGCATATCACAGCTGATCTGCGGTAGTTGCTATGGGTAAATAAGTTTATTGGTCAATTGCTGTTATCATGCCTGGATGTGTAGAAGAGAACAAGACCAGTACATTAAAAAAAAAAAAAAATACTGAACTAGAGTGCGTGTGTGATAAGAGGTTTCTTCTCTTGAATAATTGGACATTTAGAAAAGACAGTCTCTCAACAGTGATGATATCACTGCTAAATTTGCATAGCAGTTGTGTTGTGTGTGAATGGTCAGCTTGGTCATCAGCAAATCACAGTTGATCTGTAGCTGTGGCTACAGGTATGTAAGACTGATATCTTTTAGCATCATGAGGAGGTTTAGTTGGTGCTGATGGTTGGGAGTGTACTACTTAAATTTGCAACTGTTTGTTGTTTCTACAAGCAGAAAATAAAGCTAACCAGTGTCTCGTTCTTCTTTCTTTTTAGAGCACAATCAATAAAATGAAACATGTGCACCAAAACTAAAAAAAAGTATGAAAAGGGTGGGGCGTTCTCATTGAGGATACTATTTAACATGTATATTGTGCTTATACATCATGTGTTATTAATATATATATGCATATCTTATTCTCATAACCCCTCCCCTTTAGTTGTGGTGCACACTTGTTTCATTTCTTCAATCAAGCTCTTAAAAGAAAAGAACAAAAAACTCATCAGCTTTCTTTCCTTTTTTTTTTTTGCCATTCACAGTATTTCATATTGGAGATAAGGAAATGAACATAGAATAGACTGTGCTAGTAGTTGTTTCACCCAATGCTGCAAATTGCCGCAAAATCAAAACATTAACCTCAAAACTTGAGTCATGTTCCTAAACAGCCTTATTAGACTTTTATATGCATGGTGCCAAACTTGTTCAGAAATATCTGAACTCTCAGCTGTATACAATTGCTTGCTCAGATCAATGATTAAAAATGGCTTCCAGCAAATTAACCCCTCAAGGTCTTAGAGAGGACCATCCTTCTTTAAACCTTGTGGACAAGCACTACAGAATCAAAGGATTGTACCAAATAACAGAAAACCCATCACCTGAAGAATTTTAATAGCAGCAATAACTAAAATGTATAGCACATCTAACTCAAAGAGAATTTAATGACATAATCACCAGGTTGACATTCTACACTACTTTAAACAAAAGGCTAGGAAGGAAACTCCCATCAATAATGGAATGCTTGATAACAGCTACTGGACTTGAGAAACCTATTTTCTTGAAAAATCATTTTAATAGAAAGATTTTATACATTTCAACCAAAAGTAATGCTGGCTGCTCAGTCAATGAATGTCAAATGTTTCCTTATAAGGAAACAGCTTATACTACTATAATTTTTCCTCTCACTTGAAAAAGACTATATTTTTTTTTTTGATCATAATAAAAATCAAAATAAACAAGCAAAACAAGACAACCAAAAACAGCTGGGGGTGAGAAGAAGTAAATTCATACCATTCCCAATGGTATCTTCCCTTAAGTAAACATAATGCTTCTTGTTAAGATTTATTTTTCCAATTTTTATTTCTCTTCTAAAATGTGTTCATTCGAATAAGGAAAAAAGCATAAATAATATAGGTAATAACAGGCACATTAAAAATGAAATGAATAAACCTTTTTACTGAATTGCATGACATCACTGAAGGATGTCTTTGATGAGCATTGGTATTTGGTTTGGAATCACTAAGTCTCACTAAGTCACCATGTTCTCCAGTGTTGTTTATCTGAACATTGTTTATCTGAACGTCACACATTTTTCTAATTGATTCAAAAACCCTTTGTATTTAAACTGAATATATTTTGAATATATATAAAAGAAGAGGAAAAAGAAAAAGAAGAAAAGCAAAAAAAAAACTTAGCTCACTTCATAATTCCATCCTAAATTAAGGGGTTTGATGTTTAAAAATTTACTCTGCCTCATATTTGAAACTAAAATTGTTTTCTATGGTTCATCACCCTTTACCGATTATTTAAAACCAGAAAATATTGTAAGATTGTAAGCTTTTTTTGGGAGATAATAATGATTTACTGATACAAGTCCTACTAATTAACCCATTGCTGGAGGTGAGAAGAGGTGGATTCATACCTTTACCAAGTGTATATAACTGGAACTCAGCTCACCAATTTACAATTCTGAACCATTACAGCACCCACATATCCAAGCTTACAGCACCAGGTATTCCTTAGCAGTCACCCATCTAGGTACTAACCAGGATTGACATTACTTAACTTCAATGTTTCAACATGATATGGCCATAACACAGAGAGTCTGAAGTCACAGACAAGGTAAGACTAGATTAGATGAAAAGACAGCTCACAAAATAAGGAAAGAGTAGCCAATGTCATGGTTCAATGAATGATTTGTTTTTGACAACTTATCAACCCTTTGTGGGTTATTTAAAGCCAAAACATATTTTGAATTTTAAGAATAGATTTTCTTTTTGTGAGTAAATAATGCATTGGTAATTTTTTGAGAATAACAATTTTTCCAAAGCCCTACTATTTAATCCATAGCTGGAAAAGAAGAGATGGATTCATACCTTTCCAAAGAGTATTTGCATATGCATGAATGTAATGAACTTGACTGGAATTCAAACTCAGCTCTCCAATTTCTCATTACACCCCCTGCACATCTGCCAATGACATAAACTAGTAATTTAAGTTACTTAATAATTTTTACTTCATGTTCCTGTTATTACAACACTAAGTCAAACACACCAATAATATTTAAGTTTGATATTTTATAAGTCTAATGCAATTACAAAATTATGACCCATTTATCTGGCTATCAGTTTTCTGCTCTCACCCATTCTCCAGCTTGTATTTGCTATTTTTCTAGCAAACATCCAAACTAGAAAAGAGTAGATAGGTTCGCCTAACAACTGGTTCACACTCCACCCCAGTTTTTTGAACAAGAGTAGAGGTTATCACTTGTTTTCTGTTTAGGATTGGGTTTCTGGATCCTTCTAAAGTCTTTTTATTCTCTTTAACTCCCAGTAACCCCTTGCACCTTAGTGGCAATATCACCTTGCTTGGGGTGAATTGATTAAAAAGAAAACCTAAGTGACTTGCCTGCTATTCTACCATACAACCATTTTCACAGACAGAGGCAATAGAAAGAAAGAAGGATTGATACATAAATTGCAAAATTTTCTTGACTTACTTCAATAAAAGGATAAAATGCAGTTTGGTCTGTAATCTTGAAATATGATTCCGTGTCAAATAAAAGTTTGTAAACATTTGTTTTGTAAATCTTCTGTCCACTGAGGAATGTCACATGGCCATCAATACCGCTGGCACTGAAAAGAAAAACCTTAAAATTAGAACAATTCTAAGAATGAATATAAAATTAGTGAAACTTTAAAATTTATCTTATTGTAGTGATAAACATTACACTATTCTTACATCTACCTTATGAGTTAATGTTAATGATTTTAAGTAGCATGAAAAAAAAAAAAAAAAAAAAAAACCCAACAAACACAACCCAAAACAAAAATTTAAAAAAAAAAAAAAATTATTTCTGGGCACTGATTGGTTATTTAATGTCCTAACTTACAGAACTGAACATTTCTCAATATTCAAAAAACAGGTTTTTACCATTTGCTTTTGAGTTGCAGTTAAATAGATGTGACTGAGGTAAGCTTCAGTCAATCATGGTTGAGCCAAAGAACTAAAATTACAGCAATCCAAAAAAAAAAAAAAAAAAAAAAAAAAAAAATTGGGTGAATATGCTAATTTACAGCTATCTCTAATGTGTCTGGGTACATGACTAAGTGGTTAGAATGTGTAACAGAATGCAAAGGCTAGGGCCAGAATGGCCAGTGACTGGTCAGAGTACCTTGTGGGTATGATATTCTAATAGTGATGGATTGCCTTTGTCTGGATTTTGGATATAAATCCAAAATGTCACAAATTCAGCAGAGGGCTGCAAGAATTTTGAAGCATCGATATGTCTCCTATACCCATGTTCAAGAGGCCGGCTAAGTCAATTTGTAACATGCATTCCCATGATGTTATTCCACCTGCTGTTTCTTAGAATCCACGCTGCCATGTCTTTTCCTTTTTTTTTTTAAAAAAAAAAAAAAATAAAATAAAAAATAAAATAAAATAAAAGCAAGTAAAAAAAAGAAATCGTCCTTTCGTTAATACCATTTTATGTAGTGGTGTGGGGACCCAGAGATGACACAAAACACAACAAAAATTTAGCATTCTGGCCATGAGATCTGGGTTCGAATGTAATCAGGTTCAATTTGTCAAAAAAGTGACTTCTTGATAATAAATAACATCCTAGAAGTGGGAGATGATCCCATCATGCAGCACTGTTGAGAAGTTTCCAAAAACCATTCCATGGGTTTAGCTAAGCCTTGTGAATGAATTTGGGTAAGTGAAACAGTTCAGAAGCCATTGATAGTTGTGCCAGCACAAAATCAAAAGTCATCATCATTGAAGGTTTGAGTGTACTGGCCATATTCACCTACTGATCATACTGGATTATGTTCTTGTTTTCTCTCAGAAACTGTAACTAAGGTTTTCTCAGCATAATTGCAAGTTGGCTCCGTGGGTGTTGACAAAACACACAATGTGCCTGAGCAGACATTTGCAATAGGAATTAGCTAACTCGCTAACCACTTTAGCAGACAGGTATACTCAATAAGAAGTAATCAGCCATTATATATAATTTAATATTTTCTATACTCTTACAAAATCACCTTACTATCATCAGATTTACTGATCTTAATTCTTAAATTACAGAAGTATACCCCACAAGATAATCATGATAGGAAATATCCATCAAACACAAATAGCCAAATCAAGCAATAAAAATCATTTTCACCAACTTGGTTGTGTTAGTCACTCTAATGTGTGAATTCCACATAAAAAAAATCCGGCTGAATCATCTCCGTTGACAATTTACTTCTTAAACAAAGAGAATGAATATTAATTTTTATTTTTTTGTTTTTTAAACAAATTGTGACAGGCAATGAAAGGTAGATAATTTATAACAAGGTGTAATGTAAGAGATCATGAGGCAAGCAATATGAGCAAACTTTAATTGTATCAAAGACCAATTTTCAACCAATGATGTGGCTGTGTATATGATAAGGTTTGAAGTGAGTCCTCTGAATTCCTAACATAATGACTTCTGCAAGCAAGCAGATGGTAACTAATGAGCCAAGTCTTGTGGAAGATTTGGAAACTGCATTCAAGGTAGGTTTAAGCAAATTTTGTTTTTTTTTAATAATATAACAAAAATTCTACTCTTGTTTATGTTTATAAAGAAAAAATTCTTGTATAATTGATTTTTGTTTCATAATTCGTATTTGGAAAAAAATAAACACTTCAAATGACAATCTTCAATTTTTTTTAATGCTTAAAGCTGATAAATGTAATTATTAATTAAATGTTTTATTTTTTTAGAAATTATTAAATTATTTTTTTTAGGAAATAATGTTTCTTTTTGCTACTTTAATTTTGAAAGATTTAAAATTTGGATTTTAAATGTTCATGTAAACACTACCAGAAAATAATCCAATTTTTAAAATAAAAATAAACAAAAATGGGGTATGCGTTCTTACAAAATAAAATTACTGAAACTTATATTATCAACAACAGAAAAAATAGGTATCTAATTTTACAACAAAATTTATTCAAACTCATGTCTTTGCTGTTGCTAGAATTATGACATTTCAGCCATTTGGACCCTTCATCCTTCTGTGAATTTTAAACCAAACTCTTCAATCCATGCCTATAGATTTTTTCACACATTGTTGATTAAATTACGCTAAACAATATGTATCAAAAACGGATTTATCTCCCTTACATTTCTTAAGAATTGTCAAATTTCGCATTTCAAATAATTTCTGCATGTTATCTCCCTTATTTTATTTATTTATTTTTTTTTTTTTTAACTAGCACTAGATTCTAGATTCTTTGCCACACCTAAGCTGTGCTTAGAAAATCACCATTCGGATCCCTCTGGAAAAATTTTGCATCCGAAATAAAACTAGAAAATTACATCAGTGATACAATATAATTTATTTCAGTTAAATTTTATTACTTGAGGGATTCCCCCTCAAATAATAAAATGAAACATTTGTATCCAATAACTTAGGTCCAATCTTTGTTTTATAAATTCTTTCTTCTTTTTTTTTTAGGTGGAAAATGATATATAAAAAGTAATATATGTCAATTATTTTTGCTGTCAATAAAATTAAAATAAATTTACTGTATTTGACAGCTTAATAGATCTCCCCACAATTTCAGCAAAGCATAACATGATGTAAAAAAAATGTCCCAAATTTAATAAAAACAAAGTTTTACCAAAATCTTTGTTGTTACTAAGAGGAAAGACCAAAGGATTTTTTGATTATTAAATTTTTTTTTTTTTTTTAATCCTTTTTAGGTCCTTTGAAATTTTGTTTTTTTTCTGCAACAGTATAAATTGAATAAATTAGTATAGGAAATTTTAGCGTCTTTTCAGGTGAAAAACATAGATTTAGAAATTTTTGTAAAAATCAGATAATTGCCAGATTTGAATTAAACTTTCAGGACTTATTCACACATGAATTAAATTATTTTTAAAACCTTCCATTTTTAGAAAATCCTTAACTTAAAATGTTTGTTCTCTTGTATTTATTCCTCTCTCTTTGAATTTTCTATTATTATTATTATTATCCTTCCTTCATGCCCAAGTCTACTTGTAGCAATTGTAATTATGTTGTACTTTTTAAATTTTTGACTAATGTAAAAACATATTTGTCCACAGATTGGTGCATTTATTGTATTTGCAATCTTACTGGTCATTTCAGTGACTGATGATTCTGTTAAAGAGACTTTTGTGTACATACCTTAAAATAAGTGATAGAAAAATCTCTGTTGTGACAAGAATAAATTAATTTTCCACTTGATTTTTAGTTGATAGGAGTTATTAGAACTTATGCTAAGTTAAAAGTTAATAATTATTAATGAGCTGATTCCTAAGATCTGTAATAAAATACATATATTTGATGTCAATCCCACATCTAGAACTCCACAAGCCTCTCATTGTTCATAATTTTATTTTTTTCTAGTTTCTTATATGCCTGAACCATCATCTTATTTGCTATTTATTTTTTCTCCTCAAGAGAGAGTAGAGGTTAATCCCTTGTTTCATGTTTAGGATTCGGTTTCTGGTTCCTTCTAAAGTCTATTTCAACTCTATACATTTAATGTCCCCAACTTAGTTCTGAAATTTTATTCACTAATTATTTTTTTCCTCCTTAATAAAGTAGATAGGTTTGCCTATCGTCAAATTCACACTCTTCCCTGGTCTTTTGAGCAGGAGTAGAAGTTTATCCCTTGTTTCCTGTTTAGAATTGGGCTTACGGTTAATTTTAAAGTCTTTTCATTCTCTTTCACTCCCAGTAGCCCCTTATGTCATAGTGGCATTATTGCTTTGTGCGCAGTGAATTGATTAAAAAGAAAAAAAAAAGAAAAGAAGCCAAATGATTGATTCAAACAAGTACTGTTCTCAATTAAACTGAAGGCAACAATCAAAGAAAAGATTCTAAAATTTGGAGAAAAGATGGAATATTCCATTGAGATAATGCCAAACAAGGCAAATCTTTAACTGAGAAGTTTTCATACATCCACAATATTTATTAATGTGCAGTTGGATTACAGCTTATTTAGGAGATTTGAGAACAAATTCAATTCACTAGAAGATGCAAAAAGCATTTAAATTAACAATTCTTCTCTTAGAGACAAAAAGTTGTACTAAGATGAGATTATGAAGCTGGCCAAAAGATGGCTGAAGAGAGCGAGAACAAAATTGCAAATATGTCATTGAATAAAGTTAATGTATGTGGCATCCAGGGTGCATACCTGGGCAGCGTTTAATGAGACATCAGTGGTTGCCCATGCAGCATGTCTCCCTTCTCCACGCCATTAATGTTGTCCAAAGGAAAGGAAGTGGCCAATACAGCTTGACACCAACATTGTTGCAGGAGTTGTCAATATGAAGTTGAGCATAACATAGGACTGTCAGGGACTCCAGCTCGGAATTTGTCCTCAGAGTTTTAGTCCCATGATTGGGTATGACTACAAAGCAGCAGAGGCTTAAAATCAAAGTTTTCTTTCTCTTTGATAGAATACCCTCCCGGGCTGAATTCCATCTACCCTAAGTATATAGATACACACATAAACATATATATTTTACACAGGATGTTGGAGTAAAAAGTTTGTTACCAAATGTATTACTATATATTTTTAAAATTATAATAGAAGAAAATAAATAATTAGAAAAAGAATAAAAGTATAAAATTATCATCAAATATATGAGAGCATTTTATTATAAATTATTTAAATATATTTGAAAGATAAATAATATAACAAATTGACTACTAGTAAATGAAACAAAATAATGTTATGACTCAACACTTTTAAAAAAAAAAAAAAAATTGAAAATATATCCTTGTTCATAAAAAATGTTACATCACAATTAATAATTAAGAAAAGGATAAAAGAATAAAATTATAGGCAAATGTTGTTAAAAAATGTTTGAATTATAAATGATAGAGAAAGAAATCAACAATAATGAACCAATAGTCAAAGTTAATAATGAAAAATGACTTAAAAAAAAAAAAATTTACAAAATTCAAATACAGATATCAATTTGTTTTTATTTTCAAGTTATCTTTTTTATGTTTCATCATTATTTTATCGACTTTTGTGAAAAGGAAATTGTAAGTACATTGGTCAAAACGTTCAAAGAAAAGAAAGTAGCCTAAAAAGGAATCAATGAATAATAATCGCTTTTTGCTTTCTAACACTTTGGGGAAGTCAACTATCAATTCAAGTCTTTTACCATCAACACATTCCAAATGGGAGAATTTCATTTCTTTGTAGTTATATATCTCAAATGTTAGTGGATACCCGTGTTTGAAATAGACACCCCATTTTTTTATTTTAAACAGTGTGTATTATGACTATCAGCCTGTCTACTCAAGAAAACTTAATAAAGAAAATATTCTTTCTAGCAAGGTTCGAACCTGCATCCCTTCCGTCCAAGAAACCGGTTTCATCTAGCATTCTTTAAACTGATCAGCCAGAGAAAGTGTCACAACAAAGCAAGGTCCTTTTTACTCTTTTAAAGTATGCACACTTCCTCAGACAGTTATTCTCAAAAGCCCATATCTGCTCAGTTTTGTACCCAAAATATAAATAAAGCAATTTCTAAAGAATTAATGGATTTATTTTTAATTCAACATTTTCATTACATGTTATTTTTAGTGGATAAAATTTTGAGTTTGAAGTAATAAAAATGTCAAATTAAAAATAAATCCATATATATATATATATATATATATATATATATATAGTGTGTGTATCCATGAAAAAACAAAATGATGAATAAAAAGACAAAAAGGAAAGTTATTTTTAGCTGATATGTTTTGTCCTCTGAGGGACTTTATCAAGGTAAATGTCTCGCTGTCACATTTGCCTTGATAAAGTCCCTCAGTGGATGAAATGCGTTGCCTAATGGTTTTCCTCATCTCTCATATACATTTTTTTTTTTTAAGCAATTCACTCCAAGCAAGGCAAGAGTTCCACTAGCATGCAAGGGGTTACAGAGAGTGATAATAAGAGAAGAGTAAAAAAGGGGGGTGTTTGAGAAAAGGATAAAGAGAACAACAGGTATCAAGGTCAAGGCATCAGAAGATGTCAACTGACATTACATTTGAATATTTGAAGGTTATAGCTATCAAGGAAACAAGTGATAGGAAAGGAGTTCCACTGAGATAAGAAGCTGGAGTAGAAGAGATGGCTACATTTAGTCGTTTCGACAGTGAAATGGTGGGACCAAGATGCCAACCTAGTAGCGTGCTTAAATTCATGCAATTTGGGAACCAGTGAAAGTAGCTCATTGGAGCAGTTGCCATGAAAGTACTTGTAGAAAAGACAGAGGGTATATATGGTGGCCCAAAAGTAGGTATACACTTTACAGTTTTACATTTGTTTAACACTGTTTAATCTCATGAGTGCTTGAAATGTTTTTCAAGCTTGCAACATTCTTTGGACATCTCCAGAACACTGTGACCCACAGTAGGACACAAATTCTAATCAGTATTAATGTCAATAAATGCTTCCAAGATGAACTCTTTTGTTTCTTATGTAGGGATTTCTCTCATAAATCTTATTCTTTAATATGCCGCCCCCCCCTCCCAAAAAAGAAAAAGTTGCCATGTCATCCAATCCAATATCGTAGGAAGGTTTGGTCAAGGTAGTCCTTTACTGCCAAAGCATGAGGAGGTTCCCCATCTTGTTGAAAAAAAAAAAACAGTTTGGTGAAGTTAGCTCTAGTTTTGAATTGTGGCATTACCACATCGTGAAGCATGTTTAAGTAACTGTTACTATTCACAGTTCCATAAAAGTCATGTCAGTATATAAATAAATAAACAAACAAACAATTTTATACCTACTTTTGGTGCACCATGTATATATAAAGCAGCTGAAAACAATGAGAGATGACGTTATTTAGTAACTGCCCCACGCAGTCACATGTGGCACAAGGCTGAATTTTCCTAGCTCGACACTATTTTAAATAATGAGAGATGACAAGTTCATTAATCAGACACTTTTCTAAGGTATAAGCTGGATTGAAATTGCTTTTTATTACCTTTTTTGTAGTAGTTTCCAAGCTCTCTTTTCAACTTGAAGGAATAACAAAACAGGTAGACCAGTTGCAGGAAGGCCTTTGGAAATATCAAATACATGGCTAGAAATTGGTGAAGACATTTCCTGGAAAAACCAAAAGAAAATTCATCAAAAACAGTTTGATGTTTAGTGGTCATAATACAAATGAATACTTATTTAAAATGGGGTACTGGTATCTGTGGATGTGGCTTATATTCCTATCTATACAAGCAAATTTTGTATTTGAATCTCTACTATCATTGTTTTTATACAACCTGCATAATATGAAACAGGAAGGAAACAAGAAATGAGGAAAATTGAAAGGTAAGAAAAAATATAAATAAGAAAAAGGAATAATTTATTTTACATATACAGACAAGCCTCTCATCAACCAACTAATAGGGGGGGGGCGGTGGTGGTCCATTAAAACTAATTGCCCATAGATGGAAAGGAATAATTATTATTATTATTCCTCAATCCATAGTTTGTGGTACCACTGTCTCAGCAACATGATGATAAACAGCAGCAAAGCTTCCTTCAGTCTAGAAATGCAATCTGATGCAGCCTCATGTCTATTACCATTCCCATGGCCGTATATAAAAATCACATTTGCCTGCTCACGAAATGAATATCCTGCGATTGTTAAACAGAACACTTCTCAGTTAACTCACTACTACACACATTAAACATTGAAGACAGACTAGTCATTAATGTGCACAAATGACAAATGTAACTTAGTTTACATAACACAACACCATCTACTGGAATACTTTCTTTAAAATTAGTAACTCAAAAGCAAAGGATTTGTAGATGTACGTGTATGTGGATTTTTAACCTTCTTTTGATGTGGGGAACCCAGCCCAAAGTTTGTAAAAGTATTTTTGATACACCCTGTGTGTGTGTGTGTGTGTGTGTGTGTGTGTATATATATATATATATATATATATATATATATATATATATATATATAAAATCTCAAGAACAATCTTAGCAGAAAGAAGTATGACAAAGTGGAAAAACTTTCCATATTACACATTGTGTAATACTGAAAATTTTTTTTGAATATTTTGAATTTAAAATTATCAGTTTTTCCCCTTTGCGCATAGTCACATCAATGTAAATATAAATTCAGAATGAAACCCTATAGAACGAAACACGTCACACAAAACCTTTTTCCACTTTGTCATACTTTTTTCTCCTAAATAAACAAAATATATATATACACCCTTGTGCAAATTAATTGAAACAAAACAAATTTTTGTATTTTTCCAATGAAACATGACCCAGTGCACATATTAGTACTTTGTAGGTCCATTCCACAAAGTCGTTTCTTGTAAATTGTAGATTGACCACAGATTCTTGAGTAGATTTAAATCAGGAGAGTTTCCGAGCCAATCTATAATATTTTGATTTGCTCACTGGTAAGTTTTCCAGTGTGTTCATACAGCATTACAATTTTTGTACACCTCCTTGGAGTAACATCCATCACATACAATGGCTGTAGAACAACTAATCGACAATCAAAACAATAATGTCTGGGCATCATAAAAATCTGATGCAATCACATATGATGCAATGTTTTTCAAGGCCAAACAAATTTCATCAGACACTCTGAAAATAGATTCATATTACTGCACACCACTGCAAATGACCTAATCTGAGGAAAAAATAGAAATTGATTACCCCCTGTCACTCCAGTGGGTCTAAAACTGACTGTATAGTCAAAGAAAGGAAACTAAAGCAGTTGCTTCAATTAATTTACACAAGGATGTATATTTCTTTTTAAAGGTCCAAATCCCCCCCACCTCACCTTTAAAAAAAAGTCTGAATGTAAATAAGGATAACCCTGAAATTTAAACAGAAAAAAATAAACACAGACACACAACTCCATTGCATTTATCTTTTTGGAAGAATAAATAAAAATTATTAATTTACATACCCCTGTTAAGCTTTCAGACTTTTAACATATAACATATCAGGATGTTTGAGAGAAAAGCAACTAAATAAATAACACACACACACACACAATTTTTAAAGGTTTACTTACCATCTCTTTGCTGATTTTTTTCTTTTTCTTATTTGGAGGAGGACTTTCAGTGTTATTGTTGTTACAATTGTGGACAGTCATCAGTTCTTTCTTCCGTTTTGCCTTCAAATTATTTATGTCTCTCGTTGTCAATTGTTTGCCAGTCACACTGGAAATGTATTCACGAACATTTTTTGTTTTTACTCCAATATCAATAAGTCTATAGGCTTCTGATAAAACATTAGGCGTTAGAGATTGTCTCCGGTTTTCAGGGTACATGTGTCCCAACATTGGATGAGAGTGGTTCAGGTTAATTGTTCTGATAACAATCTTTTGTTTCTCACGGTCTACTGATGCTGCAATCAATGCAGGACAGCCGATTTTGTAAGTTCTGCAAGAAAATGTACAAATAATTCAATATTGAAAAGTTATAGCAAAAAAGAATGGACATAACTAAAAGGGGACAGAATAGAGGTTCAACATATTGAGAGAGACAAGGATGTGTTATTCTAATGTCATATTTCAAATTTAATATACAAGTATATTGAATGGCACAAGCACATATAAGTCACTCACACAAAACACAGACGTAAGCATATGCATTACATACACATGCAGACTGTGTGTGATGGACAGAGAATCATCATTTATTTTATAATATAGATGACAAGTTTGAAACTCTGCTTACCTCATTGATAACTGTGTACAAATGTTGTCTTTTCTTTCCCAATTCAGGATTAGGAGATTTTCCTTCTACAATTCCTAATAAATATGTTCTTTAAAACTCTTCATAAATTCTTTGAAAGCCAGGAATTGATTTGACACTATATTTATATTATGAACAGGACACCACTTCCAAAATGAATGATTTTATATATATATATATATATATATATATATATATATGAGTAAAAATCATACTTATTATAAAACTCAGGTTGTGTGTGTGTGTCTGTATGTTTATATATTGGATCGGATTTCCAACATTTTTCAACCGATTTCAACAAAACTTCACAGGACTATGTAAAATTACCTTGCAGTGGTTCTGACAGTGCCAAAAATTGGAAAAACAATTGTTTTTGCATGAAATCAATTTGAAAACACAATTAAGAGGCATCGCGAGAATGGAAGGGGGACAACTCATATCGAGTTATACTTATAAAACCCAAGTTGTTTGTGTGTGTGTGTGTGTGTGTTTGTTTATATATGGGATGGGATTTCCTACATTTTTCAACCAATTTCAACAAAACTTCACCTTTTTTGGCAGGTAGTGTTTCTTATTGTCTTGCACACTTTTTTCTTTATTTTCACATTCAGAATGCTTTAAAAATTCCATTTACAAGACAATTGTTTATAATAAAATTCTATTCAATTGGTAGACTCATAACGATTGAAAACAATGTTTTTGTTTGAGTTTGGGTTTGACCAATTCGTAAAAAAAAAAAAAAAAAAAAAAAAAACTAATTAAGACATGCGTGTCCGTCAATCTTTGTCAATTTTATTTTTCAGTCTTTATGATGGTCGATACTTGATCTATCTCTTACTGTTACATCCCCGGGCAACGCCAGGCTCTACTGCTAGTAATCTATATTTTTTGATTCTAACAAGTTAGAAATTAATTTAGCATTAATTAGATATTCCTCTACCCACATTTGTCAGAATCGAAAAATCTGGATTGTTTTTTATCAACAAAAATTATTTTTAAAAGAAACAAAACATTTTTTGATTCTGACAAATGAGGGTAGAGGAAGGTCTAATAAATGCTCAAGAAAAATTAGTTAAAACAAAAAAATATATATTTTTGCTTTTTTTACGACAGGACCCCTTTCCCCACTCAGTAAAGCTCGCATATTTTCAACAGTCTATGAAAAAAGTATTATAAAAAATTTCTAATTGATATTTGTAATTCTATAAAATATTTGCATATATCTTCATATTCTTCTTCATTGTAAAAACGAGAAATTTTAAGGGAGGTAATTAGATGTAAATAACAAGATAGTTATTTCCCTTATATAAAGGGCGTGTACAATAAATTATTATGAGTTAAGAAAGCTTAGATCTTTAGACCATATTTCTTGTACATTTCTTCCGAAATGATCTTCGAACAATTTCTGCCGGAATTTCCTCCTTGTCGGAAAAGGATTATTCGTAATTTGGAAAAGACGATTACTAAAATTAATCGACACAAAATATCAGTTGTCTTTAATAATATTTGTCTTAAAGAACATTTTCTGCCTAAAATACACAGAATATATTATTTATGTATAACAGAATTAACTTTGGGCTATGAAATTTGGTGTAGGGGTATAATTTGCACTGACTTTTCAGAATTTGAAGCAGCTAAGTTTAACATTTGTTCAGCTTTTAATCCAGTTCGCATCGACTGAAAAATTTTCTTCTGATGTGGTTAAAAATCCTAAGTACTAAAAATCATGAGAAATATTACCCTAGTGTAGTTTGAACTACTTGACTGAATTTAACATAATTGTTCCTTTCTAAAAATGTTTACTCTAGAGAGAGAGAGAGAAAGTTTTGTAGAGAGTGAAAAGGCTCTCAAGTGGATTTACACTAAGGGTTGAATTCAGAAGAAATTTGATTAAATTATAATTCAAGCCACATAAATACTGATAAAGGTCCAGTTTTTGCATTAAAAATCATTATAAATTGATTACCCATTTTAGGGACAATTCCACACCCCCCATCCCCCATGAAAGTACAGTTGATGTATGACTTAAATTGTTTCTACTGTACAGCATCACCTCTGGAATGCAACTGCACTGCAGTGCACACTTTGAAAATGTCCGATATAAAGGACAGATGTACAAATTATACTGTCTTGTTTTTTTTTCTTGTGTGCAATAGCCTTTCAGGACATGGACAATCATGGCTCTTCACAACTTCCTATGTCTTGTTACTTAAAGTAATTTAGATCCTTTACCATCCCACGGTTCTTATTCTTGTATCCATTCACACAAATTTGTCAAGTAGGTTACTCACTGTTTCCCCTCTGCTTCTCAGGTTTTTAATGTGTCCTGCATGTGTTAGATTCTCTTAGCCCTCTTTCCTCATTACATGTACCAGAAATTTCAACAATCTGTTTTTGATTGTAAATATAGGTTTTCTTGTAGTTACTATTTTCCTTAAAAACTTAATTATCTCAAATTTTTAATTTTTAATTATTAATGTAAGAATAAAAAAAGATAAAAAATTGAAAACTATTCTCAGACATTGATTTTGTTGAACTGATATATTCACTTAATCACAACATTGGTTTCGACCAATTTGGAAGAATGAATCTGAAATTAATTGAATTAGAGTGTACATTCTCTTGAATTGGAATTTCCTAGTAATATCTTGCTTAAATTGTTCCCGATTTTGAAATGCAAGAGAAAACTAAGTTCCAGCCTATTTTAGAAACTCTAATTTGTAATTTGCTTGTTTTTTCTTTTAATGTATCTTAAAAATGGTTAAATAAAAAAAATTGGTGGGAGACTGAATGACTTTACAGAATGTCCCCTCTGACCTTCTTCAGGTACATATATTAGGTAAGATTTTGGTTGATTTATGGCTTATTTAAAGTCAAAACAAGTTTTGTATTGTAAGAATAATTCTTATTTTTCTGCAAGTGAATACTGCATTAACAAATTTTCTTGGTTGGATGGGGCGGGTGAGAGGAGAGATCAATGATTTTTCCAAATACAAGCCCTACTATTTAATTAAATATCTGGGGGAGAGGGCAGAAGAGATGGACTCATACCTTTCCCAAGGGTAATTGCATGTAAGCGAATGTATTGAACTCAGCTGGAATTCAAACACGGCTCTGATTTCTCATTCCAAAACACCGTCTATTACACAGCAAACACACACACAGGTAAGTTTCTAGAAATCTTGAACCAAGCATAGACTATTTTCATTCCATATGCTAAAATATATCTCATTAATTCATTCTTCATTAGTCAATCTGCCCTTGCAATACCACTGCCGCTCATTTCACTAAGTTAGCTACCACCACAGATTCATGACAGCAAAGATTTAAAATGAATTTCTAAAAATGAAAAATTTTTCTTGGAGCTTTTAAATTGGTTCTAATTTCAAGCTAATAGATTAAATTTAATATTTCCAATAAAAAATACTTTGCTCTATTTCAAAAACTAATTTAAATTGACTGAAGTTTTTTTTTTTTTTCTTTCTTTTTACTAACAACAACAAAAAAAAATAATTAGCACCATTTTTAACCCTTGTTCAATCTTGCAAAAATAAAATATACTTTTCTGAAACTTTATTCAAGGAATATTAGCTGATTTAAATTAATCTGATTTGAAACAAATATGATTTACTTTAGGTTTAAAATATCACAAAAATGCATTTTTTAACAGAGCAGTAGCTGTTTATTTAAGGTGTTGACATGTTGACAGCTTGAATGACAGATGGAAGTTTAATGTTTTTCTATGGTAGATATATCTATAAAAAAATAATTGAAGAATATAATGTGAGCACATGTTTTATAAAATTTTTAAGTACTCAGAAAATATTCTCCATAATCTAATGGATCATTGAATTTTAGATACTTTGGCTTTAAATTTATTATAGTTATCACTTTGATTTTATGATAATATTGTATATGAACACCTGTATCTACAAAAATCAGCACATTTATACATAGAAAAAAAAGCCAAAATTCTTAAAAATATTGGTGTTTGATGATTTGTACGAAATTTTTCCATTTATGAGTAGTAAATATAGTTTTTACTTAATATCTAAAAGGGTGAAATTAATACAGAATTCTAAAAAATTTAAAACTTAAATTATTCTAATTAAAATTTTAAAAAATAATGAAAACAATTCTTGTAAAAATTCATTATTCATCACAAAAATTGTTTTTCTTAAGACAATAGTCTCATTAATACATCTTATAAAAGCAATTAAAAATTTTTCCAATTAATTAATGTCATTGTCATATTGCATTTTTTTATTTTATGATTCAGAGTAGATTTTCAGTAACTAATGTTTAAAAAAAAAAAAAAAAAAAAAAAAATTTAAATTCTCCAAAGAGTTCCGCTTTTAGCTAATATAAACATTATAGGAAGTTAAAATTTAATTTCTTTAAATTTCTTAAAATTAAATAAGTAGGGGTAAAAGATTTAAAATAAAAAAAATTTTTACCAAGATTTTCAACAAAAAAAAAAAAAAAAAAAAAAATTTCTAAAATAATTTCATTAATTTGTGGCTAAGTCCTGAAAATTTCATTAAAATCCAACAATTATTGATTTTTGCAAGAATTTCCAAATTAATGTTTTACACGGCAAAAAAGATGCTACTAATTTTTGGTCTACTTGCTGGCATAAGAAAAACAAGATTTTAACCAAAATTTCAAATGTGCTAAAAAGTTTT